CCAAGAACAACAAATAATGCAAAAACAACAAAGAACTACTCTAAAGTCACTCCAAGAACACTCCAAAGATATTACGAGATATTACGAGAACGCTCCAAAAAAACTACGAGAAACGACGAGAAAATACGAAAAACTACGAGAACTCATACTCCCCAACAAGAATTTTCAAAAGAAATTCACGAAGTGTGCCGACACATACAGTGAGCTCTATCTGTCATGAGAACTTGGTCGAACACATAATTCGCGTTTCAACGAGCCACAACTCCAGATGCTGCAGGTGGAAGAAATCCCGCAAAAGCTCTAACATCGGCCACAACTCCAGATGCTGCAGGTGGAAGAAATCCCAACAAATGCTCTAACGCCAAAACACCGGTCACAATTCTAGATGCTGCAGGTGGAAGAAATCCCACAAAACAGCCTACACCTAAAAACAAAGATGATCCTCCTGTGAAAATCCAAAACTTGAGCTCATCACCTGAGCAACCAAAACGCGATGGTCTGCACTTCCATGTATCTCTCTCCTCCTCAACCAAAAAATTGATCCATTTTTTTAAAAATCCAGTATTGTGCTAACATCAGCATGTAAAAGCTAGAGTAGATAAAGATAAATCTAAATCCTCTAACAAAGATGATGCCAAATACATGGTTGCTTCTCTGAGCTCTCCAAAAAAAAATCAACTAATGTTGAAAGCAATCGGGGAAGAAACTCCAAGAATGAGTACGAAGAGAAAGAGTACTCCAGGCGCAGACAAAGCATCCGGGACTAGAGAGGTCTGGTGGCCCACAGATCGCATGTTTTATGAAGGTATTATTGATTTTTTTGATTCTGTAAAAAAGAAGCACAAGATATTGGACAATGATGGAGATGAAGATAAATTAAATCTCAGAAAAGAACGGTGGGAAGATGTTGATAATAGTTCTGTGGTAGATGTGGGGCAACCAGTTGAATTTGTAAGTACTGATACTCCCTCTGAAATGCAAACAAAGAAAGCTAAAACAAATCCTGAAGCATCAAGTAAAGATGGAAAGATGAAGCTTTCACATAAAAGTAAATTGAAAAACACGGGAAGCATCGAATTGACATTTATTTTTTTCCAGAATTGAAGAAAAATCTGAAGATGAATTTTCAGGTGTGAACAGTAACTCGAGAACAGTACGGTGAACATTTTTTTTTTTTTTTGGTTGGTAAATTTTCAGAAGAAAAAAAGGCTGATTTTGAATTACTTTCTCAATATGGTAAAAGTAGGGCTGGGCAAAACCCAATCCAACCCAAGAAAACCGATCGACCCAACCTAACCCGACCGGGTTGGGTCGGTTTTTTGGTGGGTTTCGGATATTGGGCAACTCTGTCGGGTTGGGTCGGGTTGTGGGTTAAGAAAGACAACCCGGTATAACCCAACCCGACCCAACTCGACCAACATAAAAAAATTGAAAAGAAAAAAAGCCACTAAATATAAAAGGGAAAGAGCCCTAGAATTTTTGGTCTTCTTTTCTTCTTCAATCTGCAGTCCACTCCCGCCGCACAGATGTTTCTCTCGTCCAGTCATGAGTCATTTTCTCTCAGCTTGAAGTAAATCATGTTTGAAGTTTAATTAATTTATTGGGAGGAACGTGAAGTAGCTAAGGAGAAGATGTAGCTGCATATACAGCAATGATGGAGAGTCAAGGTATATTTTCCTGAAACAGGACACAAACTCTGTTTGGGTTTAGGGAAGCCAATAAAAATGCATTTTTTGATCAATGGAGATTGCAGGCAGCGGTGGTCACTGCCACGGTTGGAAATTTTCATATATTGGTAAGTGTCCCAATTCTCCTCATTGATCCTATGGCATTTTGGGCAAACTTTATTTGTCATTTCTCTGCTGAAAACCGATTAATATGTATTCAACATTTTATCTTCATATGGAAAAACATCAGATCACATCTCCGTATAAGAAGTATTATTACAATATGCAAAATGTGAGATTAAAATACATTTGGTTGCTGATTGAGTTGCATTAAGTATATTGTATGTGATTCACAGGTTTGATGCTTGGAAGTTGAATAATTACTTGACACACAGATGCCTGTAAAGTTTTAACTTAAATAAGGGTCAAAGTATGCAGCGTGTGGTTGCTGGTGAGTAAATTGGTCAGACCTGGCACCATTTAACTAGGCAACTGGTGAATTATTAAACATGGATTAGTCAAAGAGAGATAAGCTGTTCTTGTTCTTACCCTTATTACAGAGATCAAAATAACATGGAATTGAGTCCTAGGCAAGTGAGCACATGAAACTATTTTCATGCCATGTGATAATACTGTATTTCCCAACCAAAAAAAAACTAGGCAACTGCTCCATGCAGTGCGAGGTTTCATCTAAACTAGGCGGTGAGCTTGAGCATAACTGACCTTTTTACTAAGCAACTGCTCTATAACAATTGGGTTATTGTTCCCGTGGAAATGTGGAATGTAGCCTCGACTCTTTGCAGTCTATTGACTTGATGTTGCAACTTATTCAGTACTCTGGTTCAGGTACTTCCTGAATGTTATATATTCAATATACTTAACAAGAAGGTCTATAATTATTTACCGTATCCATTGTAAGTTTTTGTTGTTTAATCGCTTTATTCATAGATGCCTTCAAGAATTCTAGTTTTTACCAAATTTTTGATTTTCACCTTTTTGGCATTTGCTGCTACTATCCTGTTAAAAGTCCCTTTTTTCTCATATTCATGTGTCCGTGTTTTATTTCCGCCCTTTTACAGTTTTGTCTCGACTGTGCATTTTCTAGAAATGATCGATGCAAACCGACCAATCCAACCCAACCCGACCGACTCATAATTGGGTTGGATTGGTTTGGGTTTCAACATTTACATGGGTTGGGTTGGGTTTGGGTTTGGGCAAAAACCGACCCAACTCAACCCACGCCCACCCCTAGGTAAAAGGAACATGAACAGGAAAAAAAAGAAACAATTGATTTGACGAAGACTAGACGGGATAAGCAAAAAGCTCTTCCCGCCATGAGAAAACCTAACTAAGAAAATAAGAGAAAATTCTAAGGAACTAGCTCTAATACCATGTCAAATATACTCAATAAAAGACTCGATGCCCCTTTGAGATGTTCTCTCATTAAATATGA